GGACGAAACACCACAGCCGAAAGTGTCAGCAGGTGGAGCAGGGAAGTCAGAGATGGAACAACCGAGAAGGCACTGACCTTCCTTGCAACCCATCCAGGCTCAGTCCCCAGCATTGCACATGGTTGGCTCCTGGAGACCCTCCAGGAATGACCCGTGAGCACAGAATCAGGAGTAATCCCTGAGCACAGCTGTGGTTTAAACATCACCCCCTCACCCCAAAAGAAAAAAAGAGGGGAGTAGAAGGGCAGAAGAGAAGGACACAATTTCCATCAGTGTCTGCCCAGCCCACAAGCTACTTGATTTCACTGAGAACTAACCAGCACCCAAGAGAGGTGACCTCAGCAGTTGCATTTCCTCCACTAAAACACCCATCTCTCCAGCTAAAATGACTGGGCTTAGACAACTGACCCAAGCAGGGACAAAAAGACGTGCGTAGATGTGCATGCTCTCTCTCTCTCTCTCTCTCTCTCTCTCTCTCTCTCTCTCTCACTCTCTCTCTCACTCCCTCTCCCTCACCTTCTCCCTCTCTCCCCACCCCTCCCCCATCCCTTCTGGAGGAAGGGTGTGTTTTGGCCACATTAATCTGCATTCACGGATATTCCTGGCTCTGTACTCAGGGATCACTTCTGGTGGGGCTCAGGAGGTGGGTTGGGGACATATGTGGTGCCAGGAATTGAACCAAGGTCAGCAATGTGCAAGGTGAATGCGTAAACTCTGTACGATCTCTCTGGCCTTCTCTCTCTACCTCTCTCTATCCATCTTTCTTTCTTTCCCTCTCTCTTTGGTTCTTTGCCATAACCAGTGATAACAGGCTTAGTGGCTCTGCACTCAGAGACCATTCCTGATGGTGCTCAGGGGACCATATAGGGTGCTGGGGATTGAACCCAGATCATCAAGACGCAAGGCAAGCATCCTACCTTCTGTACTATCTCTCTACCCTCTCTTTTAAATACCTTTATTGAGATGCAATTTTTATACCATATAGTTCACCATTTCTAGTGGAGCCATTGCCAGTAATGCTGGAGTCTGGTGGTGGTTGGCGACCATGTAGCTAGGGCTACACCTAGCAGTGATCATGAGGCCATAAGGAACAGGACCTTGAACATGCAAGATATGAGCTCTTCACACATGAGCCACGTCCATAGCTCCTATCACCATTTATTTTGTTTTGGGGGGGCCATATCCAGCAGTGCTCATGACTTACTCCTGGATCTGCACTCAGGGAACACTCCTGGTGGGGCTCAGGGGATCATACATGGTGCCAGGGACTGAACCCCTGTCAGCCTCATGTAAAGCAAGTGCCCTACCCTCTGTACTATAACTCCAGCCCTTAGTCACCTAGTATATTTTTAAATGTACAAGTCAGGGTTAGAGAGAAGTTAGAGAGACGAGTTAGAGAGAAAATCGAGTGGGTAAGGTGCTTGCTTTGCACATGGCCAACCCAGATTCAACCCTGGGCACCCCACAGGGTCCCCCAAGCCCTACCAGAGTAAACAATAAAAACAAAATTAAAATAAACAAAATAAATAAAACATAGAAGCCAACGCCTTTCTTTTTCAGCATATTTACAAGTGTGAATACCATCACTCAGTTCCAAGAGCTTTTCACTAACCAAAAAACAGCCTCTATCATCTATCCTTTAGCATTCATTCATTCCCCTTATTCACCCTGAACACCACCACCACCGCTACCCTCCAGCCTAGAAAACCATTTATCTAGTTTCTATCTCTGTGGATCTGCTTATTCTAGACATGGCACAAAAAAGAAATCTTACGCAGGAAGAGGAGAGAGCTCAAATGGGAGAGCACGCACCAAGCATGCACAGGCCCCGCATTTGATCCCGACACTGCACAGTCCCTTTAGCAGAGCCAACAGTGCACTGGTGTCCCCGAGTACCTCTGGGCAAGTAGCACTGCATGACCAGGCTAAGCACCAAGTGGTCAGGCTCGTCCCTCCAGCTGAACAATGCTGAGAGGGCCCCTCTTGGGCCCACTTTCACTCTGCATGTTTCTCGGTCTATCTATCCATGTCAGAGCATGAAGCATACTTCATTCATAGTCAAGTCACAGAACCATTCTGTGGAAATGCTGTATTTTCCCCATCCCTTCATCTGCAGATGGGCAACGTTAGCTCTGCTTACAACAGAGGCTACTGTGAAGAGCGATGTGCCAGTTCCTATAAGGACATGTGCTTTCACTTCCCTGGGGTAGATATTCAAGAACAGAACCGCTGGGGCTGGGGAGATGGCTCCGGGTGGTAGAACACAGGCTCTGCATGCAGGAACTCCAGGCTCAATCCCTGATACCACACTGTCCTCTGAGCATCACCAGGAGCGAGCACAGGGCTGGAAGAAGCCCCAGCACCACCAGGTATGGGCCAAAACACACAAAATTTAAAAAAATTAAAATCAGTTTTGAAAGGAATAGAACTGCCGTCCATATGTTCAGTCTCTGAGCGCCCCAGATTGTTTTCACAGCAGCTGCGCCACCTTCACCGCTAAGCGTCGTGCTCCAGCCTTGCCTCCCCCCCCCCCCCCCCCGGAGTGCTGTTATCTGGATTCTGTATTAGTCATTCTAATGGTTATGATGGAGAATCTCAAAGTGCTTTCCATGAGCATCTCCCTAATGGTTAGTGATGATTTCATGGGCTTTTTGTCCTTTTCTATGTCTTCTTTGGAGAAATGTCTATTTAGATCCTTCACTCATTTTTTTGTTTTGTTTTGGGGCCACACCCAATGGTGGGGCAAGGGGTGTTGGGCTGCTCCGGGGATCACTCTAGGTAGTTATCTGCATGCAAGGCAAGTACCTTGAACTACCTCACCAGCTGTCCATTTTTACTGTTACTTATATTTTTGAGTTATAAGACTTCTTTATAAATATATTGGAAACAAGTCCCTAAGATGTGATTTCCAAATATTTTCTGCCATTCCGTGAATTGGTCCATCACTTGATTTTTGGTGAGGGCAAGGGGAAGCACATCCAGCTGTGCTAAGGAATGATTCCTGGTACAGGGCTCAGGGATCACTCCTTGCAATGCTCAGGGAAACATATGTGGTTCTAGGGACTGAACCAGTCAGCTGCATGCAAGGCGAGCACCTTAATCCCTTTACTATCTCTCCAAATTCAGGTAGGTTGTATGCCAGGCTATCTCTCTGACTTTCTTGATACTATCCATTGTAGCATAAAAGCTTTTAAATTGTGATAAAGCCCAATGCCGAGTCTTCAAACTGTCCCCTAGCAATCAGAGACCCCACTACAATGCTACTCTCAACACTGTCCCATGTGCCCCCTGAGCTTAACTCCACTTCCAGATGACCAATTTCACCAGTCTACCAAATATTATCTTTACCAGTTAAGACGAGCAGGGTCTCAACAAACACTTATGAAACAGAACCAGAGAGTAGGACGCTTGCTTTGCATGTGGCCGATCCCGGTTCAATTCCCTGGCACTGCATATGGTCCCCGGCCCAAAGAAAAACGAAGAAAGAAAAAGAAATTGAAATAGGTCTCCCAAGAAAGCAGGAAAAGAAACACTTTGGCCTCTCCTCTCCCCTTGGTTATTCCGCTTGCTGGGTAGCTTGCTGAGCTGTCCAAGAGGGATGGAGGAATCGAACCCGGGTCAGCCGTGTGCAAGGCAAACGCCCTACCCACCCACATGGCAGAACCTGGCAAGCTCCCCGTGGTGTATTCTATTTTCCAAAAACAGTAACAAGTCTCACAATGGAGACGTTACTGGTGCCCACTCGAGCAAATCGATGAACAATGGGACAACAGTGCTACAGTGCTACCTACCATCCTAAAGGCAGAATAGCTCTGCTTTCCACTGGGGCAAAGAAAGGAAAGTCAGAGAGATAGCCTGGCATACAACCTACCTGAATTTGATCGCCATCACCACATATGGTCCCCGAGCTTTACCAGGAGTAAGCCCTGAGCGCAGAGCCAGAAGAAGCCCCTTGCACCACCAGTGTGGCCCCCAAACAAACAAAAAATTAAGAGTTACTTTCAAAACCACCTCCTCCTGGCAGTCTACCAGGACGGCTCCCACTGCTCTCCCTGTTTCAAATTACAGAGAGAATGAAAACTCCAGAGGGCAGAAGGGACAGCTTGCTGTCCATCCCTGTTCGGCTAACTGCCCACACTCTGCCTTCTGTCAAAACACCACAGAGTGGGGAGCCTTTGTCCGGGGCTGATCGGCAGGGCGAGGGAGGGCCAGCTCCAGAAACTCGGCAGAGGAGACACTTCCCAAAGAAGAGGTTCAGGGGAGAGAAACTGTTGGTGCACGAGCTGCTCCACACGTGGCAGGGTAATAGTTTGTGCTAGTGCCCCGTGATTTTTTTGTCCCTCCTACGACGTTCTTCCTTTACAGTCCACTCAATCGGAGCTGCGGGTTGCCAGTGCTCATCACCCAAGGGAGGGACGCAAGGAGAGCTGCTTTCACTCATCTCCAGGGGAAAAGAGGATCAGGAAGTAAGCAAAACAAACTGGCCAAAAACACACACAGCAAAGAACTCAGGGAGGTAAGGCAGAGCTGCCAGGGTGCACCTGCTCGGGCTGCCTCCAAAAGACAAGGGGGAAACTGAGGCAGACGATTCCCAGACCTCTAGATCTGGAACTGAAAGCTGCCGAAAGCCCTGGGGTCTGGGGGGCTGGGGCCATGTCTGTTAACACATGACTTAGTAGCCAACCAGACAAGTGTGCACGCACACACGTGCGCACACACACACACACACACACACACACACCATGAATCTGTGTGTACATCCAGTACATACATGCCCCACCATTCTAGCATCTGCTGCTTCCATCCCAGCCTTTGCCTTGCCCCTGACACCCCAGGAAGGCACAGTCTTCTCCAGCCTGGTCCAATCAGGAAAACCCCAGACTGAGCCAGAGATGCAGGCAAACGGGACAGCCCCGCTCGTGTCTTCCACGCTGGGGTGAGACCCAGGGAGCATCCATCTGCCCTCTCCGACCCTTACAGAACAGGAAGTGACTACTTACTTGACCTTCAGACTCGCCAGCATGGTCTTGTCAATCCTGCAGAGAAAAGCAAGGAAGGGCTTCGGTCAGTGCTGGAGTGGAAGGCGGCCCCTGGTATCAGCAGGTCTCCCCAGGCCTTTCAAAACCCCCAGACTGAGGCTCTGCTGGCTCAGCTGCTACCAAGAGCAGTTCTCCTCCAGCGAGGAAGAGGGGGGCTATGCACCCAGGGAGCACATGTGACCCAAGGGGAGGGGAGTCTTATTCTTCCCGCTTTAGTTCCTTCAGAGGTGGTGCTCAGGCCCAGCTGTGCTGTGGGGGGCTCAGGGGACCATGCAGTGCTGGGGAGCAAACTCAAGGCCAAATTCATGCGAGCAGGTGCCCCATCTCACGAGCCACATCCCTGCCCTTTCCCATTTGACACTCGAGGAAACTGAGGCTTGGAAGGACTGAAACACCACCACTGCGAGTGACTCCAGGGATCTGAGTCCAGTCACGGGAACTTAGGAGGTGCTGGGAGTGTCTCCCTGCATGAAGCCCCTCTCCCAATTTAATTCTGTAACCCAAGCACACAGCTCCACACCACTGCATGATTAACCACCAGACTGCACCTCTCTTTGGAAGGCCGCCATCCCCCTTAGCACATCCTGTCCACCCGCTTCCAGGAGCGTCCAGTTCCCCCAGGCCCCACTCATGGGCAGAACAAGATGGCAAAAACAAGATGATGGAGGGTGCCCAGCAAGTGGAGTTGTGAAGCCCAGAAGCAGAGAGCCGGGGAGATGGAGGTGGTGGCAGACTGTCCCGGCAGCCAGCCCCCAACGCCAGCCCACACCCGCCCTGCGGGCAGACAAGGAGGCTGCTCCGTTGCTATTTTTACCCCCTGCATATGCCAGCCGTCATCGCTGGCAAGAGAGCCCCTTCCTCTCTCCCGTGACAGAAAGCGGGCAGAGTTCCCCACTGTGCCTCCCCTTGTTCAGGGATTCCACCACAACCAGCTCACTGTCATTATCCAGTCCCCATCCCCAGCAGTGTCCCCAGCCCCACCGCACATGGGACATCACCATCAAGGCCACCAAAATCATCTCCACTTCGAGGATACACGACACCCCGGAAAATTCCCCCTATCCCGACCGCCCCCCCGCAAATGTCTGACCTGCCAGAGCCTCACATGTGCACAACTGCTGGTGCAGCAGCGAGGGTGGGTCAGCGCTGGGGAGTCTGGGGCAGGCCGAGGGGCCCCCACAGTCACAAGTCAGCACAACACAAGGTCCTGAGACCAGGAGAGGGTCCTCTGGCTCTTCAAGCACCATCAGCTCTCAGTGGCCAGTAGCGACGCAAAACACACACCCAGGATTTAGCTCAGGGCCTTTGGGTTTCTTCCCCACACCCCACCTAAGACCCTTCCCTGGAGTTTCCATTCCTGCTCTCCCACCATTTTTTTGTTTTTGCTTTTATGTTTGGGGTCACCTCCACTGTACTCCAGGTAGACTCCTGATTCTGTACTCATGGGTCAGTCCTGATCAGCACAGGGGACCATCTGGGGTGCCGGGGATTGAACACATTTTGGCTCTGAGAAGGGCAAATACCCTCCCTGCCTGACCCCCAGGCTCTTCTTGGGCACATAGTCCCATCTGAGGGCCTGAGAGATAGCACAGCAAGAAGGGTGTTTGCCTTGCACATAGCCAACCCAGGTTTGATCCTCGGCATCCTACATTTCCCCGAGCCCTCCAGGAGTGATCCCTGAGTGCAGAGCCAGGAGGAACCCCTGAGCACCGCTGGGTGTGGCCCCAAAACAAAACAAACACCGCCCCCTCTAAGACACAGACCCTCCTCTCCTGCCATTCAATCCATCAGGTGGGAAGAGTTTGGACACAGCGTGAGCTCCCCACATCCCGCCTTTTTATTTTTTAGCCCAAGCAAACAAGAGCAAGTACCAGCAAAAAGTCCCTTAATTGCACAGGGTATCCAGGAATCTCCTTTAACACTCGTATCTCAGAGTCAGGAACAATAGTACAGCACGGGAAAGGCACTTGCCTTGCTCGCGGCCAACCCAGGTTCAAGCCCCAACACCCCATATGGTCCCCCAAGGCCACCAGGAGCGATCCCTGAGCACAGAGCCAGGAATGAGCCCTGAGTACCACCAAGTGTGACCCAAAAATCAAAATCATAACATAATAATATTCACTGTGTTGTGAATATATCCCTACATTGTGGCCACTCTAGTCCCCACTCACACCTGAGAACCTGAGACCAGAGAGGGGGTCGTGCTCAGTAAATCACGGTGGAGCCGGCACCATAACCCAGACTCCCAGGCTGGCCATCCTGCACTGACCACCAAGCCACCCCATCCTGCACCCACACCTCCACCTCCACAGCAGCCTGTCCACAGGCCCTCATACTGCGGGCAGGTCTGGGTGGGTGCATCTGATGCTGGACAGCCACGGTTCTCTTTCTTTCTTTTTCCTATTCTTTTTGAAGTAAAACAGATTCCATTCAGAGGGTTTTAGGAAGGGAGAGGCAGAAGAGAAAGTGAGAGAGGAATGCGCTCAGGAGAGAACACGGGCTTCTCAAAGGCAGAGAGAGCCCCTACACACGTCCCAGCATTAGACATGAAAGTCCACATCTCAAGAGGGGAGGCACAGAGCTGGAGCGATAGCAAAGCAGGCAGGGCCTTTGCCTTGCACACAGCCAACCTGGGTTCGATTCCCAGCATCCCATATGGTTCCCTGAGCACTGCCAGGAATAATTCCTGAGTGCATGAGTCAGGAGTAACCCCTGTGCATTGCCAGGTGTGACCCAAAAAGAAAAAAAGGGGGGGGTGTATGCAGGCAACTCATGCACTCGCCACTCACCATGTGGGTTCAAGCAGCACAGGGGCTCGGGCAGCGTATGTGACCCATTCCAGCCTCCTGTCACCTTCCCATCTGGCGCCCGTGGCCCTCCACTCTGGCTTCCAATAGGACTTCCACTGCCACCATGGTTGACGGCCTGGGTGGACCAGAGCTCTAAGACTGTCAGTCACCCCCAGAGGATGTTCCCCATACACAACTGCTCCTCTTTCTGCCCAGCCCAGCCCTCCATGTATCCCACCTCCCCTCCAACGACAAGTCAAATGTCATCATGGCAAACGCCCTGCTAGCCATTCCATAAACACCTCCTGACCATTCCTTATGTGCCCTCTGCCCGCCCATGCCCGGGGTGCCTCAGAAGCCCACTCACTGCCTGGCCCTGCAGGATGCCCGACCCCACCTCATCTGCCTGACCTGGAATAGGAGAGCCCTACCTCATTCAAACTCATGACCCACCCAGCAGCAGCTCCTCCTGAACCCAGACCCCGGCACCAGGCCACACTGCTCCAGTTCCAGCACCGCAAATCCCTCCCCGCAGGGCACTTTCCAAAAAGAAGGGAACACACAAACCTACACACACAGGACAGCCAGAGCAATAGCACAGAGGGTATGTGTTTGCCTTGTATGCAGAAGACCTGGGTTCAACCCCCAGCATCCGAGATGGTCCACCTGGAGTGGTCCCTAAGCATGGAGCCAGGAGTAAGCCCTGAGCACTGCCAGGCCAGGTGTCACTCAAAAACAGAGTGCACACACAGAGGGGGGGAGAGAGAGCCCCTCCACGCTGCCCTTGGTGTCCCCTTCCCTCTTCTCCTAGGGCCCCCTCAGCAGCCCACTCTAGCACATGCCTGCTCTCAGCAGCAGGAACCTTTACTGACAACGCCCTAGGTCCCAAAGCTGAAAGGAAACTGATAATACAAACCGCGAGACCCTGTTCCCCTGTGGGGGAGAAGCTGCCAGCAGCTGGGGACCAGAGACAAGGGGGTTTTTTTGTTGTTGTTGTTTGGTTGGTTGGTATTTTTTGGCTTTTTGAGTCACACCCAGCGATGTTCAGGGGTTACTCCTAACTCTGCACTCAGAAATCACTCCTGGCGGTGCTCAGGGGACCATATGGGATGCGGGGATCGAACCCAAGTCTGCTGTGCAAGGCAAGCACCCTACCCAGTGTTTTATCACTCTGGTCCTGAGAGACAAGTTTTGACCCCACCTTCTTCACCCTGCAAGACTCTCCCCTTTGCTTAGTTTAGCCCTTAGGGCCAGGCTAGAGGCTGGCATGCAGGCTCGATGTTCCTGCTCTGACAGAGCTAGACTCCCTGTGGGGTGCAGGGAGTGAGAAAAGTCTTATCTGGAAATGGGCATCATGCGCACTCCTCTCACCACCCCGCCCCCCAGAAGGACACTGCCCAAAGGCCCCACAGACCAGACCTTCCCTGCTCTGAAGGCACAGGGGGTCCCGGGAAGGGGCGTAATAGCAGCACACACAGACCAGAGGCTCAACAGGAAGGGGCTGCTCAGAAGAGAGCGTGCACACGTGCTTACACACAAGCACACCCCCCAGCTGGGCCCCCATCCCCCCATAGGCGAGGCATCACCAACACACACAGGAGCACATGCACAGGTCCACGCAAGCACAGACACGCAGTCACACGCAAGCACAGACCATTCCAGAGTGAGCGTGAGAAAATGCTTTGCAGCTGACACCCCAGCCAGGACCTTCCATCTCCCTCGCGGCGCCATGCCCCAGCCAAGCAAAGCAACGCACACCGTTCGTTCGCTCCCTCCCCTTCAACCGCTCTGCCACCTGTCACCCACCATCCGAAGCCCCCAAAGGAGACACTGCGCTTCCTGCCAAACATGGTTGTGGCCTCAGGCCCAAGGGCCCAGCGATGTCCCTGGGGCTGTGGATTGCGATGCAACTAAGGGGACCAGGGCACAAGACAGCCAGCAGCATCGCCTGTCCCCAGGCTGACTCCACCCCGCACTTCCTGTGGGTGAGGCCCTGGGCCCCAGAGGTGTGCCCTACTCTCACACAGGCACTAGATGAGACCTTAGGGAGGTCACTTAAGGCAGCCTGTCCACACCCAGAAAGGAACCCACAACTCCGGAAGGGGCCGGCCCATTACAACACCCAGCCCTGCCTTACTAGAACTCCAGAATGGCCGACGAGTCTCACAGGGTGCTGAGAAGGACAGAGAGGGCTGGGGGGGCTCAGGA